TAGATAGATAGATAGATAGATAGATAGATAGATAGATAGATAGATAGATAGATAGATAGATAGATAGATAGATAGATAGATAGATAGATAGATAGATAGATAGATAGATAGATAGATAGATAGATAGATAGATATGTGGGAGAGAGGTTGTTGTGTTTATGTTTGTATGTGTATGTATCGGGCAGCCATTAAGAGCTGTGTATCATTATAAGATGTATCGAAGATAAATAAGTAGGCCATGTGGTGTAAATCGTCTCCTGGTGGGGAAAGGTGTAACGTTGCGCATGTGCACACATTTGTTTCAAGCGAGATGTTTTTTCTTAAGCATATAAGTCAGCGAGACTAGCTAGGGGGCGCCTGTCAGCCCTGGATCGTCTCCCTGTCGGCTGCCCTGCTTCTCATCTGCCTGTGATGTAATCTTCTTTGGGGTGTCTTTCATCAAAAAGGCATCAGAAAACACAACTTTGTCGGATCAAATTTTCTGGAAATCTTCATTGCATAATTGTGATATATTTTTTTTTTTCTTTACTTAATTTGTATTCAAATTTGTAATTTGTTGGAAATAGGACTTTGTTTTAATTGAGACGCAGGCAGGCTATCAGTGATACAGATTGATAGTTCTCAATTTTATTGACATAAATAAACAGAAGGCAGTATTTTGGAATCACTGAACACTGGGTGATTTTACAAGTCAAATATAAAGTTCAAAACCGGATGTTGTTAATTAAAGATTAATTTATATTTAGAAGGAAAAAAAAATAAGAAAGAAATTCACTGAACTTGGATTAGACAAATCCAGGTTAAAAAGTGTGGTGTGCAAAAATATATCTAGAAAATCTGGAGACATCGTTGAAGACAGCTGGTTAAAACTTGGAAGGAAAGAGCCTATAATTATTGACAGCTGTTCAAAGGTCAGCAAATAAAAGGATTTCCATTAAGCTGGGACAAATTAAGGATTGAAGACAGACTGTTATATGCTAGAGGCATCCAAATCAAGAACCTATTGACAGTTACATCATAAGGATATCCTAATCGAACATCTAACACAATGGTGTCTGTGAAACAACTGCTAGGAATTAAAGAGGCCAAAACAAATCGTTTTGTACGAGCAGTTTTGGCCGAAGCTGTTGGCACCGCCATGTTGGTCATCGTAGGTTGTGGCTCTGTGTCTACTCTAAATAAAGGACTCAATCCGGGCGCTGACACCATTGCTGTAGCCTTCGCTTTTGGATTCGCCCTGGCCATGATTGTCTGGGTGTTCGGACACATTAGCGGGGCGCATGTCAATCCGTGTGTATCTATTGGTTTTCTAGTGACTGGACACGTGAGTTTGTTGAAGGTGAGATATTTGTTGTATATATTAGACGTCAAATGTGGGCTCGCTGTTTGGTATGCATAACATGTAGCTTTTATTATATAACGAGTCAAAGTACGAATTTTGAGATATCATGTTCCCCCCCCCCCCTACGTGGCTTCTTCCTGAGGCGAGTCATGGTCTTACACTCAGTCATTTGTATATAAACAAAACAAACAACAAAACTGAGACTGAAGCTTTTCAATTGAAATGTTGCAGTAAATTCTAAGAAAACCAAGGACTCAGAACCATCGAGAGCTTATATGATCGAAACATCGAGGAGAACTTGCCCATAAACAGCATCCTATTCCGAAAGCTGAGTTCTACTGGCCTCGTTGAACGTCCCGCTGGTTTTGAGAGAACAGGAATGGAGGGCAAACTTTCTGAAAAAGAGGCAGAAGGTGCATAGAAGACACAAGTCGCATTAGCAATGAAAGCACAATCGGCTGGAAAACTTGACCAAAAATATTTGGATTTTCAGGTGCGTCGGGACAAGAGCTGGGTTTGGTAATTGACCGTGGCTCCCAGTGTATCATGGCTCACAATTGATCTTGGTTCTCACGTGGACCTAGTCTATAATGTTCATGTTTCAACATCATGTCACACGGGCGTAACCCATAAGTGCTCCGTTCTACATCTAACTCAAGTCTGAGTCTCAAGTTTCCAAGCTCAGTGCACGAACTCCGTGAGTAGATTTAATAAATCCAAATGTTGCCCTATCTGCTCCGTTAGGCTACTCTTCTTGATTTCCAACTGCCAAGGGATTTTTTTACATGCGCAAGGATACACACGGGCGTCCGATCTTACAACCCAGAGTCTAGGGAAAATTACTGTAAGTCCAATTGGAAAAAAAATCACAGTAGCCTCTAAAAAGTACCGGTAAAGGCAATGGGAAATAAAGGCGACTTACAAAGTCCTGTCAGCGTAGCACATTGAGTGCCGACTGGTCTAGACAAAAATTATAGTACAGCACTTTAAAAAAAAAACCCTCACAAGCATGTCGTAAAAAGTAACTGAAACTGGAGAAGACGGTTTTCTCAGATCTGATGTGTTGGGCCAAAGGGCATACAATCGTAGCCTTTAGAAGGGTGAACAGACAAGAAACATCGCACCATTACTGGTAGTATTGGCAATTTTATGAAAACGTTCGCTATACGTTATCATTATCATAATCCTCATCTTACCAACATAATCCTCACCATCATCATAATCTCATTATCTTCATAATCCTCATCTCATCAACATGATAATCTCATCATCATCATAACCCTCATCTCATCAACATGATAATCTCATCATCATCATAACCCTCATCTCATCAACATGATAATCTCATCATCATCATAACCCTCATCATCATCATAATCTCATCATAATCCTCATCATCATAATCCTCATCTCATCATCATAATCCTCATCATCATCATGATCATCATCAAACTTTCACTTCAGCTACTAAGCGGCGTAGAAATGAATAGTTTGCAGCCCCACGCTGGATGTTTAGCCCTGGATGTTGTCACTTCGTGTGTCAGCAACTCGTCAACTTCCTAGACTCAAGATAGCTCTCACATCTTGTCTTTTAAATTATAGCGCTTTTATTTGTGGTTGCTTTTAGTTCAACTAAGGCAAGGGTCAATAAGCACGATTGTACTTCTTCTTGATCCTAGCGTTAACAGCTGTAAACTCTAGCATAAAGTTATGGTTGTTCGTCCACTTCTGGACTTTGGTCTTCTTCTTCTTCTTCTTTTTCTTCTTCTTCTTCTTCTTCTTCTTCTTCTTTTTTCAACTTCTTCTTCTGCTTCTTCTTCTTCTTCTTCTTCTTCTTCATCATCATTTTCTTCTCCTGCTGCTGCGTCTTCATACTCTTTTTATTGTTGCTATTGTTTTTCATTTCTTTCTTATATTATCATTATTATTATTCTTTTTTATCTTCCGCGTTTTCATCTTCTTCGTCGTCACCTTTTTTTTTCTCGTATCTTTCCTTCATGCGTATCCTCCTTGAAGCCTCTCCAGCAAAAACTGTTCACCACGACTCTATATTGGTCTCTGTCATCTAGAATTTAATTTCATTTATTGTCTATTGTCCTGTTGTTTATATTTTCTCAAACATATCTGTCTTCGCCTTCAGCCTTCCATGCTGATTTATCCACATACAACGCGAAGTTAACTTTCGCTTCCCTTTCTGCGACACGTCTATCAATTGTATTTGCGTTTTTATTTGACATGAACATATCCATCATTGTCATTGGCGGGTTGTTTCAATATACAAGTAAGACTCTATACCGTGACATATGCAGGTTTTAACGATAGATTTTTGTATGTTCTCAGCCAGGGATGTGTAAGCGAACCGTTAGTCGTTAGTCGAGGCGGGTTGTCCCATAACCAATCTGCTCCCGTTCCGGGAAAAATCACACAAAAAGTCCGATGCTGTCCTGTTTGAAAACGTGAAAATGCATGTTAGTAAAATTTTAAATCGTGCACACGCAAAGTAACTACATAAGGCAGCCCTTAGATGTGGCATCACTAACACTCCCACATTGCAGCTCACTGAAGATTATCAGTTCCAAAAACCGCCATTGTGCACACAATACTGATACGTGCTGTTCGGAAGTATTCAGCCACCCGCCATTTTTAGTGCAGTTTACAGCAAAGTAAAAAATCCGTCGCGGGCACAACAGGAAAAAAAAATAAACCACATGAAAATTCCACAGACCACTCAGTTCTGTAGCATGGCGACGGAACATTTGGCTTTCCGGTCCAGATGTGGGAAATTTGCATAGGCAATTAGCTTGTCCGAGCGTCAGTGGTCAGCAGGTTTTACCGCCAATGTGCGAACCAGGCAATTAAGGAACGGTGGAATCCACGTCACAAATACGCGTGAACCATGCATCCTTCGCCTGTTTGTTTGAAGTCTGAGTGAAGAAGAGATCGATTAGTACCTAAAGTCTGAAAGCGTTTATATCATTTCGCCTGTTGTCACAACTCCTCTTTCTAGAAGAAAATCCAAATTTTGAAAGTCTGTAGTCAGGTGGCCTCAAAGTCTGTACTCGGGTTGCATCATAGTCTATACTCGGGTTGCATCAAAGTCTATTGTCAGATTGCATCAGTTTCTACAGGCAGGTTGCCTCAAAGTTTGTAGTCAGGTTGCCTCAAAGTCTGTAGTCAGGTTGCCTCAAAGTCTGTAATCAGGTTGTATCAAAGTCTGTAGACAGGTTACTTCTACAAGTGACCTAACAGCTATACCTCAGTGGTGGCTTGGAGATGTTAATGCGAGAAATCCGACTTGTTGCCGATTCAGACCTAAGACCAGCGGATGTGCAACTGGCCACTACTCTATCGCAGCTCTCTTTGCTGAACATGGGTACCATGGACAGTCAAAGCCACCCAAGTAATGTTGATCACCTGGTTCAACGAGTGCCGGTTTGTTTATAATCGTTGTCGAGGTTTGCAGACAGCGGTACGAGAGTCTTGTCGTGGAAGAGATTGAGGCCTCACCAGCTGTATTGCCACAGACATCTTGGTGCCAGGTCTCATGTGGTAGCAGTGAGCGTTTCGATTATCTGGCATACACTGCGGTTGCTATGGCCGATTTGGTACTGGAAATATTTGATTGCATACGTGTTGTAGGTCATGAACCACATGCATGCACACGCAAAACGTGGCTTAAAGTGATTGAGGGGATATGTCATGACAATTACACCTGACAGATCCACATGCACTTCTATCTAAGTATTTTCCGTATCCCTGTCCACCAACCCGGACAAGGATACGCAATCAAGCCCTTTGCTGTATCCGTCCTAAAGGTCAGTGCTGAGCATGGCCTTGATGACGCTACTTACTTCCTGTACCGGAGCAGCCATAGCAACCGCAGCGTCTGCCAGATAATCAGCACGTTTGATTCCACGAACACTCCTATGACCTGGAACAAAGATAGAGATTAGGCTTGCTTCACAAGAACAGTTTTAGGAATGAATACTGTTACGTGCTGATTTGGGTAAAGTGTAATATTGTGTAAAGGGACAGTGGTATGAGAGTACTTCTGTGAGTTAACGGGCAATTGTCAACATTGGCTCGATGTTGATCAGTGAGAAGGGTAGTGCCACGAGAAAGTGGACATGGGGGTTACTGTGTGGGGGTTGAAAGCATGGTTAATGAGATATACAGAGAAAGGGTGAATAACGTGACAGCGTGATTCTCAGGTAACATCAGCCACTCACATAAAAGTGATCCTCGAGAACGCCCACATGAGCGTGAGTCTCGTGAACACCCACGGGATCTTGATTCCCGAGAACGCCCATACGAGCGTGCCTCTCGTGTAAATATCATCCACCCACTCGAGATCGATAAATTAGGTGACTGAGTAGTCAGTCCGAGGCAGTCGGAGGCGAAGAGAGAGAGAGAGAAAGAGAGAGAGCGAGAGAGACAGAGACCAGTAAGGGTCCGTAATTTTCTCTCTCGAGTCTAACAAAGAATACCGTACGACTATCAGGCATTAAGGTCTGAGTAAGTGTTGAGGTTGCGGTACTGGTCGAAGGTATGGTCCCGCTGGCAAAGTAAGACCAGGGGACGGGATGCTCAAGTAGTACCTGTTCTGGGTGGCGACGTAGTGAAACTTATGAGGACCACTAGTGAAACAGAACAGGGGGGATGCCGACGAGAACTGTGTGCTAGAGGGGACTTATGGTAGAAGTCCTGTCGGTCATCGGAGCCCTTTGACAAGCTGACGAGAGCTGTGTGCTTTTGGAGTACGGCAAGGGAAGTCCGTCTCCAGTCAGCCGTAGTTGTCTGCTGAAATAATATTAAGGTCCAGTGGATAGGAGAATTCGTCTTATTCAGCTGTACGGCGTGTCCAGAGTGTGGGACGCTGTAGTCCTTGGAGCTGTAGTGGTCACGGAGAGATGGCTACAAATTGAGAGAGAGAGCAAGTGAGGACAAATGGACTATGTGCGAATGTCAACTGTGATCAATATCTACGTCTTTGCAGTTTTGTTGATATTAGGGCTGGTGTATACCCTCCTGTGTTCTGTCAGTTAAAGATGTTTTGTGACGGAACTATTGTCGTCGAGTCCTGCTTCCAAGTGAGGGAGCGAAAGTTTTACCTTTAGGCACTTGGTAGTGTGCTGATTAGTGTGTCACTCAGATAGCACACAACAATACCCACAATTATCATACACACATAAATAATTATTATTTTTGCTTGTATTGCGAGATGGTTATAAATGACAAAGTCTTCTTTATCCATTGAAATGTGAATAAAGAAAGCTCCTGAAAAGTCAATCGGGCCCGTGTAATTACTGTCCACATGTCCCTTCTAATATAGATTTGCCACTAACAAATATAGGTCTAGCCATAGAGAGACGTCTTGTGTTTGATTAGTGTATTTTATTGAATGTTCATGTTTTTGTTTGGCTCCATAGGCTATCTGTTATATAATCGCTCAAATCGCTGGGGCTATCGCAGGCGCTGGACTTCTGAGGGCAATCATCCCCGACAAATGGCAGGGTAACCTGGGCAGTACTACCCTCACGGAAGGTGTCAACTTATGGCAGGTGAGTTTTTCAGATCATTTCTCTTTTACAGCACAGCTGCATCTAATCTCTGTGTGGGTCCCGGGGCCCCATTTTGCGGGGGCTTCTCCCTTACGAGCACGTCGTAGAGGTTAACTAATCATAACTGGGTTTTTTTTTCGAAGTCAGTAAAACATTTCCGAACAAAACTCAAGTTCTCAAAAAAAAAATCAAGTAATTCCTTTCTGATGGGAAAGGGTACAGGGGTAGGGGGTGTGTGAGTGTTCATGCATTTGTTTTTTATATATTATTATGAATGTATTATTATTTGTATGTGCCATTTAGCAAATAATAATAATAACTAAGAAGAGGCAGGTTAACTTATTTTTTGTCGAGTCAAGGTTTTTGCTTTTGACAAAATTTAACTCTAGCATTTTCCTCTATATATAGACTGAGAGGATATAGTTTCGTCGCCCAGCTAATAAGCTAAGTGCATGGCGGATTTAGTTTGAAATTATTTTCGACTGTGCGTATTTATGTAGCGAACTGCAGATTCAGAAAAAGGTCAGTGGTACCTTGTGTGATTAAGTGTGCAACTACTGATCTGTTGCAACTACTGTCTCTTTCAAGGATAAACTAACTGTCTGCGTTAACAGATCTTACCAATGCCTTAAGGCTTAAGCGTGTGTAAGCTAGTGGAAATGCTGAGAATGCAGTTTGTGACCAGTCAGTAATTTACATTGTGCGGTTTTTCTTGACACCGGATTAGATGACCCGCTTGCTATGAAGCTGAAAATGCAATTACCTGACCTCCTGATTAATAATAATTACAACAATAAGGCATTCCTTCCTCAGAGCTCATCAGCTTTAAACTCCGGCAAAAGGTTCTGGCTGTTCGTCCACATCTATGCTGTAGTCTTGTTCTAAAACTTCAGTTTTCCGTGCACATCTGGTCTTCATATCTGGTCTTTATATCTGGTCTACATATCTGGTCTTCATATCTGGGCTTTATATCTGGTCTACATATCTGGTCTTAATATCTGGTCTTCATATCTGGTTTTCGTATCTGGTCTTCACATCTGGTCTATTTTTATGCAGACTGTCTCAGAAAGACACACCCAGACTTCGACAGCAAAAAATAATCATAATAATAATAAACAACGATAATAATTTTAAAAAGTATTATTTTTATTACTGCGCACCTAAACAAGTCCCATAAGCTCCACGCTATATAAAATCATAATAGGGCTAAGGCGATTCTGCCGTTACATGCACGCATCGTCACTGGTCTAAACCCAACCGTTACATACATAAATTCACTAATCCCAGCAGTCCCAGAAATGGGTTGTCTGAACTCAGCTACTCCAGGAAACGGGTTGTCTGACCCTAACAGTCATGTAAATGGGTTTTCTAAGCCCAGCTACTCCAGGAAACTGGTTCTCTGACCCGAACAGTCATGTAAATGGGTTGTCTGAACCCAGCTACTCCAGGAAACGGGTTGTCTGACCCTAACAGTCATGTAAATGGGTTGTCTGAACCCAGCTACTCCAGGAAACGGGTTGTCTGACCCTAACAGTCATGGAAATGGGTTGTCTGAACCCAGCTACTCCAGGAAACGGGTTGTCTGACCCTAACAGTCATGGAAATGGGTTGTCTGAACCCAGCTACTCCAGGAAACGGGTTGTCTGAACCTAACAGTCATGTAAATGGGTTGTCTACAGTTAGCTGCCTAGAAACGGGTCTTCAGATCCTAGCAGTCACAGAAATGGGTTGGCTGAACCCAACTGCCCCAGAAATAGGTTTTCTGACCCCAACGGTCACAGAAATGGGTTGTCTGACCACATCTGCCCAAGGAATTTGATTATCTAACTCCAAAAGTCACAGAACTGGGTTTTCTTACTCCAACTGCCCGAAAAATAGATAATCTAACTCCAGCTAATCTAAATGCCCCAGAAATAGGTTCTCTCAATTCCAACGTTCACAGAAATGGGACATCTAAACCAAAATCTCTTAAATATAGCAACCATAAAACTGGTAATTGTATTCTAACTGCAAAGGCATTTGATCTGGAAATTATTGTTCTTATATTCATTATATATTTTAACAACGTGCTTCATTGTGAATACAGTAACGCTCATGTTATAGCTCACGAGTTTATTATAGGGAAATATTGAAACTCAAGTCATATTTCTGCAACATAAATCTTTTAACAAAACACTGATTCTCGTGTAAAAGATTGGCAGCTTAAATGTTCTAACATACACTGATTCTCGTGTCATATTTCAGCAACCTAAATCTTCTAACATACATTGATTCTCGTGTCATATTTTAGCAACCTAAATGTTCTAACATACACTGATTCTCGTGTCATATTTGAGCAACCTTAATGTTCTAACATACACTGATTCTCGTGTGATATTTCAGCAACCTAAATCTTCTAACATACATTGATTCTCGTGTCATATTTCAGCAACCTTAATGTTCTAACATACACTGATTCTCGTGTCATATTTCAGCAACCTTGATGTTCTAACATACATTGATTCTCGTGTCATATTTCAGCAACCTTAATGTTCTAACATACATTGATTCTCGTGTCATATTTCAGCAACCCTAATGTTCTAACACACATTGATTCTCGTGTCATATTTCATCAACCTTATTGTTCTAACATACACTGATTCTCGTGTCATATTTCAGCAATCTAAATGTTCTAACATACATTGATTCTCGTGTCATATTTCACCAATCTAAATGTTCTAACATACACTGATTCTCGTGTCATATTTCAGCAACCTTAATGTTCTAACTTACATTGATTTTCGTGTCATATTTCAGCAACCTTATTGTTCTAACATACACTGATTCTCTTGTCATATTTCAGCAACCTAAATCTTCTAACATACATTGATTCTCGTGTCATATTTCAGCAATCTAAATGTTCTAACATACATTGATTCTCGTGTCATATTTCACCAATCTAAATGTTCTAACATACACTGATTCTCGTGTCATATTTCAGCAACCTTAATGTTCTAACTTACATTGATTCTCGTGTCATATTTCAGCAACCTTATTGTTCTAACATACACTGATTCTCTTGTCATATTTCAGCAACCTAAATCTTCTAACATACATT